ATTTCCCTAGGCTAACTTGCTTAATTATGAGAATGTTTAGTTAATATACAAATTATGAAGCTTGAAATAATTGGCTCTGATCAGCATCCTCATTAGTTTCATACAGAAAGAATTACATGTTTGTCTTCTTTTATCTTTTTCTTAGAAAAAGTTCAACATTCCCCTATTTGTGATATTGCTGTAGGCAGCTTGACTGCTTTTTAGGTTCATTTCTTTTAGGTCTGAGTGTCTCCATACAGATGTAGGTTTCAACTCTTTGCTCCAGTTCCAAAGTGAGACAAGCATGTGTCTTCATGTCATGCATTTCTCTAAGCTCATGCCTGTAATCCCAGCACTTTGGGAGGCCGAGGCAGGTGGATCACCTGAGGTCAGGAGTTGGAGACCAGCCTGGCCAACATGGCAAAACCCTGCCTTTACTAACAAATACAAAAATTAGCTGAGTATGGTGGTGGGTGCCTGTAATACCAGCTACTCAGGAGGCTGCGGCAGAAGAATTGCTTGAACCTGAGAGGAGGAGGTTGCAGTGAGCTGAGATTGCACCACTGCATTCCAACCTGAGCAACAAGGGCAAGACTTTGTCTCAAAAACAAACAAACAAACAAACGAAAAAAACTTTGTCTATGCTTTCTTCAGGGGTCATGGTAAGTATTATTAGCAAATTGTTTTTATTTCAAATGGGAAAATACTATATAAGAACAAAGTCTGTTGTTCATTTTTGTATGTCACCTGTAATGGAGATTTCTTAATGATTAATGATAATTAAATAAACTCTTATTAAGCCAACATTTAAATCCAGCTTTTCACGAGTTGCTAATATGGGGTTAAGCTCTATTCGTTCTTTTTTTCAGATGTTTAGAACTTGTGACATATCTGAAAGGCAAATTTGGCATTAGACCAACATTTTACTATTGTCAACTCTACAGAGTCAATATATCATATTCCCAGAAGAGTAGGTTGTGTTCCTCTTTGCCTCAAACATCATTAACAAAACTGACAGCGAAGCGCTAATTCAGAAGTGTTCCAGTAGTTGCTGATGTGCAAAGCAGAAAGGACTGAGTATGACTGTCAGATGTCAAGCTGGGTTTCCATCACTGACACAGAGAAAACGTGTAGTTTGACTTGTAAAGGGGGGCCCAACTGATAAGAACATTGTAAACTAAAAAAAATAAGAAAGGTACAATTATAACACCTTTTTGAACCTTTTTTTTTTTTAATGAATAAAAGGAATTGGAGAAAACAGAAGATTAAACAAAAACAACAAAGATGCTTTAGGGACAAACAAAGAAAACAAAAGAAAGGTTTCATACAGAAAGAATTACATGTTTGTCTTCTTTTATCTTTTTCTTAGAAAAAGTTCAACATTCCCCTATTTGTGATATTGTTGTAGGCAGCTTGACTGCTTTTTAGGTTCATTTCTTCTAGGTCTGAGTGTCTCCATACAGATGTAGGTTTCAACTCTTTGCTCCAGTTCCAAAGTGAGACAAGCATGTGTCTTCATGTCATGCATTTCTCTAACAGGATTCTGATGACTTCTATTGGAGATCTCAAACATAGATTTTTTTTTTTTTTTTTTTAAGAGACTTCCAGAATTCCTTACTTTTTGTTCTTTACTCTTCCAAGTGCTAGGAGATAAAGACAAGGCTGGTTGCTCACCTGATATCAACCCTTCCCCCACCTTCCTCCCTAACGTAACCCTCATTTTGTGTAGGGAAGAGATTTGCCCCTGCTGAAAAGCTATTTCTCATCACCCTTTCTTACCCGCCCTCCTCATCATCACTCTCACAACTCCTCACTCCCCACAGTCACACTTTGTAGCTAGAGGTGGCCATGAGACAGTTTGGGTCACTGCAGTGTAGGTGAAAGTTACTGGGTAGGGCTTCTAGACAAGCTCTTTCAAGGACACCAACTCAGCTGGTGGCTACTTCTGCCCTTTGCCTTCCTCTTCTTCCTGCTCAGAATAGGCTCATAAATTTGCAGCAAAGCAGCTATCTTGAGACCCTAAAGAGATGAACTCACCCTAAGGACGTGCTGAGTAGAAATAGAAAAGAACCTGGATCCCTTCCCATTACCTGGAGACACTGCATCAGCTCTGAACAGCTTACCTCCAGACTTTTGGCTGCATTATAATAATAATACCCCAAATTTGTTTAAGTTCCTCTTTTCAGCTTCCTGTTACTTACAGGCAAGTTCACTTCCTATTCACAGGAATATTTTAGAGCAGAAAATTCAGAAACAAAATACACCAGAGCCTTTAATGAATGGTATTTCCCTAGGCTAACTTGCTTAATTATGAGAATGTTTAGTTAATATACAAATTATGAAGCTTGAAATAATTGGCTCTGATCAGCATCCTCATTATTATCATTAAAGAGATTTTTATTCAGAACTCATTTGCATGAGGAAGCTTGCTCGGCTATTTACCTGGTGAATGGTTTTCTACACTGTCAGCCTGTTTCTGGCTTGGAAATCATTGAGGAGCATCTGTAAATGGGTGACTTGCTCCGAGCTCTTGCTGCTTTTAAGAGGCTTGTTACAAATACTTTTATCTTCAAGTGACTTGAAGATTATTTAGGAACACTTGATATGATTTAATATCTTTATATATTAAAGCAAATTCAAAGTTGTCACTGTCATTACATCATTTATAATAATGTCATTCTCACTCCAATTCTTACGTGCTTTCTTGAGTAGGATTGAAAATGATGGAGTTACAGTTAGCAAGCTGGAAATTTCTTCTCACTCTGGGCATGCCCATGGGTGTTTCACATTGTGAATATCATCTGTTCTGTTCCTTGAGGCAGAAAAAACAAAAGTTGAGAACTTCTTCATACACAAAGAACAAAACCTCTTAATGAGTACCTTTAGCAGTACCTAGGCAGCTGATGGGAGCTCTGTTGTAGTTATTCTTGGTGGGCATGGGAGAGAGGGGAGTTGGGTTTCAATCCTCCAGGGGTGTATCATTTTCTCAACGTGAGGGCTTGGAGCTTTTTATGTTTACCATTAGTGGCGTGGAATAAGAGCTGAAAATACTGCCGTAGAGCCTTTGTGTGCTATGTCTCTCTTGGCTTATATCCAATCTAAAGAATTGGTAGTGGTGCCCTGCATCTTCACTGAGTTAAGTTTTGTGAGGTTGTGCTCAGGCCCAGCCTGGCGTGAGTATAATGACTGCCTTCCTGGCCTCTGGGCTTGGCACTCCTTGCCCACTCCCCCTCCCTGCCTTACCCTTTTGCTGCTTTGGGCACTTATGTTGAACACATTTCCATTAGCCTGTGTAAAGAACATGGGCCAGTTTCTCTGCACTACCAGTACATCTTGGGCATTATATACATCTCTATTTATTTCTAATCTGTATGAGTTGGGATTAGTTTCAGCTGCAAATAATAGTGAACCCTCAACAGTGGCTTAAACAATATAAAAGTTTGATTCTGTTTGAAGTAAAGTAAATCTGGAGGTAGCGAGTCAAGGACTGGCATGGTTTCTTCTCATTTTCTGCTCCACCTTTCCTAGGAGTGGTCTGCAGTTTCATGTTCTGTACCGTAGGATAAATAAATAGAACAACAAGGGCTGGACATGGTGGCTCATGCCTGTAATCTCCCATTGGGAAGCCAAGGTGGGTGGATCATGAGATGAGACCGAGACCGACCTGGCCACATGGGTGAAATCCCGTCTCTACTAAAGTACAAAAATAGCTGGGCGTGGTGGCACATGCCTGTAGTCCCAGCTACTGGGAGGCTGAGCAGGAGGAATCGCTTGAACCCAGGAGGTGGAGGTTGCGATGAGCTGAGATCGCGCCACTGCACTCCAGCCTGGCGACAGAGTGAGACTCTGTCTCAAAAAAAAAAAAAAAGGAAAAGAAGAGAAAAAAGGGCTCACTCCCTGCATTTTGAGGGAACTTTCTGTAAACACTGTACAACACTTCGGTTTCATATAATTGGCCAGAACTTCTTGACACGGTCACATCAAACTTAAAGAAGGGGCTGAAAAGTAGGGTCTTATGTCTGGGCTCATGGATGCCCTTAAATAAATTTGGGATTCTGCTACTAGGGAAGGGGAGAGTGACTATTAGGAAGCAATCAGCTTTTGCCGTTGCCATTTGCAAATCACTATAATTGAGGGTGTGGTTATTTGTAAATGCACTGATTGCAACATATGGGCTGTAACCCTTGTCCCATTTAGCACCTGAAATGCCTTCTCCACTTCCAAGGGATTTATGGAAGACAGATGGTAGTTAGTTAACAGCCATAGGGGTTTACATTTTCTCCACTGCGTTTGTTTGTCTTGATACTATAGATGAAAGGGCTGTAATTTATCTTTTTTGCTCCCAGGCTCATTGCATTCAGTGAAATTGCTTTTCAGAGAGGATACACCTCTTCTTCCCCTGACATGTTGGGTACTTGCTTTTCTTTCTTTTCCCCTTCCTCCCTCCCTCCCTCCCTCCCTTCCTTCCTTCCTTCCTTCCTTCCTTCCTTTCCCTTCCTTCCTTTTCTCTCCTTCCTTCCCTGCTCCTGTCCTTCCTTTTTCCTATCCTTCCTGCTTTCTTTTCTTTTCTTTTTCTTTCTTTATCTCCTTCCTTCCTCCCTCCCTCCCTTTTTTCTTTTCTTTTCTCTTTCCTTCCTTTCCTCTCCTCCTTCTCTCTCTTTCTTTCTTTCTTTTCCGTATCTTTCCTTCCTTCTTTCTTTCTTTCGTTTCCTTCTTTCCTTCCTTCTATCTTTCCTTCTTTGCCTTCGCTTCTTTTCCTTCCTTCTTTTCCTTCCTTCTTTCCTTCCTTCTTTCTTTCCTTTTCCTTCTTTCTTTCCTTCTTTCCTTCTTCCTTCTTTCGCCTTCTTTCTTTTCCTTCTTTCCTTCTTTCTTTCTTTCCTTCTTTCTTTCCTTCTTTCTTCTTTTCCTTCCTTTCCTTTTTCCTCTTCCTTTCCTTTCATTTCCTTCCTTTCCTTATCTTTCCTTTCCTTTCCTTTCCTTGCTTCCTTCCTATCCTTCCTTCCTTGCCTTCCTGTCCTTCCCTTCCTTCCTTTCTTTCTTTCTTTCTTTCTGTTCTTTCTTTCTTTCTTTTCTTTCTTTCTTTCTTTCTCTTCTTTCTCTCTCTTTCTCTCATTTCTTCTCATCTCTCTCTCTCTCTCTATCTCGGTTCTCCGTCTTCTCTGCTTTCTCTCATTTTCTCTCTTTCTTTCTTTCTTTCTTTCTTGACGGAATCTGACTCTGCCTCCCGGGCTAGAGTGCAGTGGTGTGATCTTGGCTCACTGCTCTCTCTGCCTCCTGGGTTCAAGCAATTCTCCTGTCACAGCCTCCCAAGTAGCTGGGATTAAAGGCATGCACCACCATGCCCAGCTAATTTTTGTATTTTTAGTAGAGATGAGGTTTCACAACATTAGCCAGGCTGGTCTTGAACTCCTAACCTCAAGTGATCCACCTGTCTTGGCCTCCTAAAGTGCTGGGATTACAGGCATGAGCCACCATGCCTGGCGGGGTACTTGCTTATTTCTGAAGATTATGAGGATGTTCTTCAAGTGCAAATCCCTTTGTGGGACACACTTTAGTAGCCTGATCATGCCAAGTATTAAAGAGCTCTGGTTTCTATCTAGAGAAGGAATAAAAACTGGAATACCAGTGAAAGTAGTAAAAAAAAAGTTCCAGAACCTCCAGGTGGCATAAAGAATGCCATGTTTGGGATTATTAGTGTCAATTACTAAGCACAGCACATACGTTTGTCTCAAAAGCAATGATGACATCCTTTTGCTACTCTCCCAAACAGCCAAAATCCCAAAGCATCACCTGTCCAGTAACCCCCAGCGACCCATCATGAGACATTATAGTTGGCTTGAACTATTCCAGATTTTCTGAACATGCCTAACAAATTTCAGTATTTAAAATATTTATTAGCTATAGCTCTATTTTAGAAGGGATAGGATTTCAGGAACAGATTAAGGCATGAGGGAATGGTAATTCTGGGAATGAAGATAATGCACATGAGAAGAAAATAAAGAAGAAATTCTTTTTCTTGATTCATTCAACTGTTGTGAGAATCATGGTGTTCTAATTTATTTGGTTTTTGATATTTGAATAAAACAGTACATTGTTCACCCAAACTTTAAGAGCTTTTGCTATCTTAAAAGACTATAAGTCTTTTCATTTTAAGTCTGTATGACTGAAGGCACCACATTGTCACAGGAATAGAGATACATTTTAACAACTGCTCAGCAGTTCCTACATGACTCTCTTTAATTCAGCTCAATTCAGTTCACTGCAATAAATCAGTGGAATTAAATCTAATTAAACTCTGATCAATTCTTTGGAGGAGGTGCAAAAGGAGACTATTTTTATTTAAGGACTACATGCACAGGAAACAAATATATTAGACAGGTTATGTCTAAATACAAAGGTGTTTGCAGTAGGTCATTGTTGTATCTGCATCACAGTGCTTCATTCTAACTGGATTCGTAGAGGGGAGTCCCTGAAATACCATCAGGAGATGATGCCTGATAGCTGATATGGATACATCATGCTCTTTTGCAAAGGTAAAAATTGGATTAGTTATTTATAGAAAAAGAAGTCAAAATATTTTCATCAAAATTTCACTTATGCGTGCAGAATATTATATATCAATTAATATTAATCATGGTTGTTAGTGGGTAGAAAGATTTCAGTGCTTCTATTTTATCTCATGTTTTTCTGTATTGTTGGGACTATTTATAACATGTGTATTATTTATCTATTATAAAACTATAAATGCATCATATGACATTTTTTATCATAGTTAAAAAAATCGGAGTATTAAATTAATGATGTCTTAGAAGTCGGTCATCACCACCGACTTAATAGTTTGCTGTGTTCATTCTCTTTTTTCTTTATTCTACCTAGTTCTTAAAACTAGGGTGTTAGAGAAGTCCTGTTAAAATAAGCAAAATGCAGCTGTGGCTCATGTTTGTAATACCAGCCCTTTGGGAGGCTGAGTTGGGCAGATCACTTGAGTCCAGAACTTTGAGACCAGCCTGGGCAATGTGGCAAAACCTTGTCTCTACAAAAAATACAAAAAATTAGCTGGGAATAGTGGTGTGTGCTTGTATTTCAAGCTACCTGGGAGGCTGAGGTGGGAGGATTGCTTATGCCAGGGAGGCGAAGTTGCAGTGAGCTGAGATCATGCCACTATACTCTAGTCTGGGCAACAGAATAAAATCCTGCCTCAAAAAAAAAAATGTGCAAGTAATAAAAATCAGGTTGATTCTTAGATGGGAAAGAGGTTTGGCATTATGGTTCCTGAGTGGAATGCTCATCGGTCATGCCATGGTCCCATTGGTTGGTCATGACCACTGAAATTGTGGGCCTGAGACTGATTCAGGGTTGGGGCTTCTAGCACACTGCAGGATACTCAATGAATCCATACTAGACCTCACAAGTTTTTAGGTGTCATTCATTCCAGTGATAATTTCAGGTGGAGAAAATGATTTAAGGAAACTCTTCTATGCTAATAGTAAAAAACCAAAGGAGGAAAGCTTATTACAGTTTAATAGCCGAAAGACTGATCTGGGGTTTCTGATTATTGGTAACAGCAAAGGGCAAGGAAGCAAAGTGGCAACAACTTTCACTCAGACAAAGCTTGGCTTTGCCAGGTGAGTGGCTCTCAGCTTCAGTTAACTTACCCGTAAAACAGGGTTGATGATATTTGTATCTACCTTAAAGAAATGTTGTCAGGCTGGGCATGGTGGCTCACCCCTGTAATCCTAGTACTTTAGGAGGCCGAGGCGGGTGGATCACCTGAGGTCAGGAGTTTGAGACCAGCCTGACCAACATGGAGAAACCCCGTCTCTACTAAAAATACAAAATTAGCTGGGTGTGGTGGCACATGCCTGTGTTCCCAGCTACTTGGGAGGCTAAGGCAGAAGAATTGTTTGAAGCTGGGAGGCGAAGCTTCAGTGAGCTGAGATTGCGTGCTAATGCACTCCAGCCTGGGCAACAAGAGTGAAACTCCATCTCAAAAAAAAAAAAAAAAAAAGAAAAGAAATGTTGTCAAGATTAATTGAGATTATGTGTGCAAAGTATTTTCCACAATGCCTAGCATAAAGTAGGTAGTCAGTGAATGTCAGATAATACAGTGATGATGGTAGTTATTTGTACAATAACACTAGAGATCTTTTAAGGTCAATAATGTCTTTTTCTTGCTTTCATTTATTTTTATTATCTTTTGTGGGTACATAATAGGTGTATATATTTATGGGGTACTTGAAATGTTTTGATACAGGCATGCAATATGAAGTAAGCACATCATGGAGAATGGGGTATCCATCCCCTCAAGTATTTATCCTTTGAGTTACAAACAATCCAATTACACTCTTTATTTTTAAATGTACAATTAAGTTATTATTGACTATTGTCACCCCATTATGCTGTTGAATAGTCCTTTCATTTATATTTAATCTCTCCTGTTCAATCTATTGTAAATCTCTGCACCTAATAGATATAAAACATATGGTGAATTGACTGAGATGTAAGAGAGAATGCTAAGTAGTTTGCATCCTCTTGATAGAAGTGTTAGCATGTACCTGGTTCTTAGGTACTATCTTTTAAGGCGAGGAACCCATAGAAAACATGGTTGATTTAGAGCAGAAGGCTAGTTACTTCACCGCAGCAGTGTCCAATCTTTTGGCTCCCCAGGGCTACACTGAAAGAAAAATTGTCCTGGGCCACACATAAAACACACTAATACTAATGATAGCTGATGAGCTAAACCAAACAAAAACATGAAAAAACTCATAATGTTCTAAGAAAGTTTACAGATTTGTGTTGGGCCACATTCAAAGCCATCCTGGGCCACATGTGGCCAGTGGGCAGGGGCTTGGACAAGTTTGCCATATGGCCTTATCCATCTTCTCCTACACACTGAGTTGTCTGCTTCATGGAATTGGTTGCATTTGTTCCTGAACCTGTTTATGCAAGTTGTAATTGCTATTGTAATTATTAAATTTAATTAAAATTTATTTGAAACAATAAAATATGAGATTCAAAAGAAACTTGTTATTACAATGAAACTAAGTTGAAAGTGCTGGAAAAACTTGACATCACGAAGTTGCTATAAGGGAAATGCATTTGATTAGATGTGGTAGAGACTACTGTGAATATTAGGGTGAGGGGATCCTAGAAGTCTAGGAGTGTTTTACATTCAGATTGCTTCATAAAACATGTTTAAGTTTCTCTTATAGAAAAAGTTGGTGATCTATTTTGGGTGTGATTTATGTAAGAAAGCCCATGTGGTAGTCCATGGTCAATGTGGAGGTCCTATATTTTTTAAAGTGGCTAATGAGTATTTAAATATTTGAGATAAGTGTACACTTTTGTGCGTGTGCGTGTGTGCGCTCCCTCATTTTAGCTGCTTTTTAAAATTACAACCCATTAATGGCCTGTCTCTGATGCACATAATTAAAGGATTCCTTCTTTAGGACTTTTTTCTTTTTGTTTTTTTGAGACAAGGTTTTGCTGTTGCCTAAGCTGGAGTGCATTGGCACAATCATAACTCACTGTAACCTCAAACTTCTGGGCTCAGGTGATCCTCCTGCCTCAGCCTCCTGAGTAGCTGGGACTACAGTCACACACCACTGCACCCCACTAATTTTTTTTTAAGTAGAGGCAAGGTCTCACTATGTTGTCCAGACTGGTCTCAGACTCCTGGCCTCAAGCCATCCCAAAGTGCTAGTCTCCCAAAATGCTGGGATTACAGATGTGAGCCACTGCAGCTGGGCCTCTAGGACTTCTTGTTCTCTGGTGTTTTCCGAGCTTTGCTTCTTGGCTGTCTCCACCCATAAAAGTCTTCCCCCAATTTTCGCCTTAGTGATGCTTGCTCCTGTTTCAAGATTCAGGAAGTGTTGGGTCTGATTCTCCTTCCAGTTCAGGTTTACAAGATCAGTTTACCTGTTGTAGCCCTTGTCACCAATTCTGTAATCTTTGGTATTTTACCTGACTTGCTGGTAGACCAGGATGTCCCTTGAAGGCAGAGTCCACATGTCCCCGGCACCTTAACCCAGGGCCTGGCATTTAGTAAATACTCAATGTTTGTTCAATGCACAGTGTACCCAGAAAAGAATTGTTAAATAAAATGATTATAATTCATTTCTGATACATTTTTGTTAACTTTTAGCATAAACAATGACATCGTAAACTTAACAAGTGCCTGGCAATGATGAAGACTGGGTGAGAGATGTTGAAAATGTAGGCTACTGAGTCATGCTAAAACAACTTTCTCTCCTAACCAACTTTCTCAAAGGAATTTTTAAAAGGCAGATGTTTTTCATTTGATCTTAGGAAAATAAAGAACAAAACAATAATCATGAAATTTAATGAGAATTTCTTTCTTAAAGCATGACCTTTTCTGTGCCTTGCTGAGCAGTGAAAGTTGAGTTCTCTCTTCTTCCTTCTCTTCCTCTATATATCTGGACTCTTTTTTGCACAGAAGGGACTCTTTTTTTCCTAGTGGTATTTTCACTCTTTTGTCCAAGCCCTTGATCAGTTCTCAGAGTTGGAGGCACCTGTGGTTCCAGATAAATCATAAAGCCACAATGCTGTCAGTGGCTCAGCACACCAAGCTCTCCTGTCTCAGGATTTCCCACATGCTGCTCCCTCTGGTCAACTTTTTCTCATAGTTTTATCCCAGTTTGCTCCCTGTTTTCATGAGTTTGCACATTAGTGGGGAAAAACAGACAATAAGTAAATGAAACACAATATATAGTATGGTACAGAAAATGAAAGCCAAGTGGGGGCCTGGGAGTGCTGGTGGGACACTCCTTATTTATACAGATTGGCAGGAAAGGCAGACCTGACAAAGTGACATTTCAGTAAAGTCTGTGTTAAGTGATGGGGACACTCTGCAGACATCTGGGGGAAGCGCTTTCTTGGAGGAGAGGCCACAATTTGGAAGCCCCTGAGAAAGGGTCAGTCTTGGTCTTTTGAAGAACAACAAGGAGGCAAGTGTGGCGGAAACACAGTGGTCGGAGATGAGGGCAGAGAGATAGCAGGGCGTCAGGTCTTCTAGGGCCTTGAAGGCTATGAAAGGACTTTTAATCTTTACACTACAAGTTCAAGTAAGGGAAGGAAATTACCTCCCATGAGCTGGGCGCAGTGGTCCACTCTTGTAATTCCAGAACTTTGGGAGGCCGAGGTGGGTGGATCTCTTGAGGTCAGGGGTTCGGGACCAGCCTGGCCAACATGGTGAAACCCCGTCTCTACGAAAAATACAAAAAACTTAGCCAGGTGTGGTGATGTGTACCTGTAATCCCAGCTACTCAGAGGCTGAGGTGGCAGGATCATTTGAACCCGGGAGGCGGAGGTTGCAGTGAGCCAAGAAATTGTGCCAGTGTACTCCAGCCTGGGTGACAGAGCAAGACTCAGTCTCAAAAAAAGAGAAATTACCTCCCATGCATTTTGGGAGATTCCCTCTGGCTGCTGTATGGAAATGAACTAGTTGCGGGTAAGGAAGTGAATCAGGAAATTTGCTTCAAAGGCTCCTGCCATGGTCCTGGCAGTAGAACAAAGGGATCATGGATGACGACACAAGCAGAGAAGGTGACAAGAGGTGTCTGGTTCTATTTCCTGATATGGTCTTCCCTGACCAAGCATGTTCCTCCCATACACTCATTCATAACACTTGTTTTGTTTTGTTTTCCTACAATAGTGATTTCTACTTACATTTTTGAGTGGCACTCCGTTGATGTCCCTTACTCTTCCCCTACAAGTAAATACATAAACAACGTAAGGGCAAGGATCATGTTTGTTTTGTGAATCATTTAATCTCCAGCACCTAGTCAGTACCTGGCACATAGAAGGTATTTAATAAATATTTGTGAACGATAGGAAACAGAGTCAGTTCATGGTCAGCTAGTGGTTGCATCTAAGTATTAAGAGAATGAATGTCAGCAAACCACTGGATTGAGAAAGAGGAGAAGTTGAGATTGCCAGAGAGCTGACACTAAATTTAAATAAATCAGGGCCAGGCGTGGTGGCTCACAACTGTAATCCCAGCACTTTGGGAGGCCAAGGTGGGTGAATCACCTGAGGTCAGGAGTTTGAGACCAGCCTGGCCAACATGGAGAAACCCCATCTCTACTAAAATATGAAAATTAGCTGGGTGTGGTGGTGTGCACCTGTAATCAATCCCAGCTACTTGGAGGGGCTGAGGCAAGAGAATTGCTTGGACTCGGGAGGTGGAGGTTGCAGTGAATCGAAATCACGCCACGGCACTCCAGTCTAGGCTACAGAGCAAGACTCTGCTCAAAAAATAATGATAAAATAAAATAAAATAAACCGGAGCAGATTTCGATATTTCTCTAGATATTTTTTAAAATGCTGGTCCTTGATAGCATTTCTCAGTGTCTGGCATCATTTAGATATGGTCTGTCCCAGTATTCTGGCCTGCTGTAACCCCTGGGGCTTCTCTAATTTCAACACTGTGAGCTTTTAGGGAAGAGAGCAAGAGTGTTAATGCAAGAGCTATTTGGCATAGGAAATGGACAGAGTAGCCCTTGAACTGTTCTTGTTGTACGGGTCATTTTGTTATTAACACTGACACTGTGAAAGCTTTCATTTCTGGTGATTTCTTACCTGATAAGAACAAAATAAAATGATGCTCACCGTGCCACTTCCCTTCATTGCCTCAAAATGTCCCAAACTTCTCTTATAAATTTTTTATGTGGTCTAGCTATAAAATTTGAGAAATGAAACTGAGAACTCCAGCAACTGCTTCTTGATTGGTCTCACGTGGCGTGCGTTGCTAGGTCTCTGTGCTGTTACAACCGTCGCTGTCCCATCAGCTGTGTTTTCCTGAGGGTGGTTCAAGTCACAGTACTGGTGATGTCACTCCTGTCCCCTCTGCTGAGATCGGCGTGGTTCCAGTAAGCGATGCGTATGGTAGCAATTTGCATCATGCTGTGTTATCCAAAACTTCTCTAGTGTGAACTTTTTATAGCATCTCTGCTCTAAAATCCAGCACCACCAGCCCTGCTTGTTTTAGAACTCTCTCTGAAGTCTGATCACACAGAAATAAGAATACACTCATGGATAGAAAATCCCTGATTGATATTGGCACCAGTTCTTTATTTGGAAAGGGGTTTGGTATATTGGCTAATAAAGAGCACAAAAATTAAAATAAAAGCAAAACTCATTACTGTTCATATCCACTATACCCTCAAAAGTCCTATTGCCTGACACAATGTATTCAAAATTGTAAGTTAAGGGCAATGCCAACCAATTTGGGGATCAGGCTTCTTTATGTCACTCCTCGTCCTGAAAAATCTCCAATGGCTTTTACAAAATGGTGATATTAATGAATTTTAGGAATATGAGCTTGTGTGGCTTTCCCTTTTGAACAATATCTCAACTTCCCCATTCATAGACTGAAAGGCTTAGCAAAGTGCTTGTTAACAAATGTCTTAGTAATGGTAGATTTTCAATAGCATAAACTACGTGGTTTGACTAAATATGGATGAAACTATGCTTTTTAAGTTACATGTGAAATCAGCCACATTACTTCATCTAATATGCAGCTGTACCCAGTATGAGTATAAAAACATTCAATGATAATTACGATGGTAAAGATGATGGTGAAGGCTTTAGGGATATTGGGCAGGATTCAAATCATTAACTGGAAATGGATACAATTTCAGAATCTTGAAATAAAAAATACTGAAATGGAGTAAATAGGAGGCTCACTGGAGATATATTTAAGAAACAAAATTTGCTGCTTTCCAGTTAATGATGTGAGTCATGCCCCATATCCCTAAGGTCATCAGCATCCTCCTCATCATTGTGATTATGTTTGAATTTCTCCTCAAACTCACACTGAGCATGGAGGGCCAGTAGGTGCTTTGGTGCCTTCTGTGGTTCTAAATTCTGGCTTATTTAGAGCTTGTTAACAGTATCATCTGGTTTTTAATTGGTCAGCTGTCAAAAACTTGAAAAACACTGAATCATCTCCCTGAGCAAAATTGGTGCTTTTCAGCTTCTGACTTGAGTTTACAGTAGGAATAATATAAGGGTACGTCTGACTGGGAAGCTGTGGGGCTGGGATGAGTCAAAGGCCTCCCTCAATCCACTTAGAGTTCTTCATCTCATCAGGGTGATTCGCCTGTCACTGTTCATATGGTGCCCGAGGCAAAGGGTTAGTACTGCTGATGGTGACTTACCCTATAGCAGCAGTGCAGCAATTACCTGGGAGTCACATTGTGTTTGCAGTTTGTTTAGATGGATGGATGGAAGATACTGCAGGTCAACATCAAGTTTTGTGGTCAGACTCGGCAAATACAGGAATAAAAATATGACCACAATGGTCATTTAAATATGAGCTACTGTAATCTTCTGTCTGTGCACCCTTGAATATGTGCTTCTGTTTATGAAGTTCTTACTCTATGGAACCACTTCATGCCATTCTATTCCACATACTTATTTCCCTCTAGGTGAAGCAGGCTTTACTCAAGCATTATCAGCAACAGGGAGAGAGAAGGAAAATATTGTAAAGGAAATATAATAAAAGCCATCAGGGAAAGCTACTTAAGGATGAGATATATATATATATTTTTTAATGAACTCAAATAATCCGGTAAAAGGAAAAGCAGAGAGAATAGAAAAATGGAAAGATGTACTGAAAACAGGAACATGCAAAGAAAATAATAGAATGACAGCTGCAAAACCTGCCAAAGGTCTGCAGAAAAGAAAGGGGAGCAAAAAGACAACTAAATATATTGCATTATACCATATGACCCAGCAGTTCCATTCCTAGGTATATACCAAAGATAATTGAAAACATGTGCACACAAAAACCTGTATGCAGATGTTCACAGCAGGATTATTCATAACAGCCACAAACTGGAAACGACCCAAATGCCTGTCAACCGATGAGTGGATTAACAAAATGTGGTATAACCATACAATGGAATATTATTCAACAATGAGATGAAATGAAGTACTTGTACATGTAACAACATGGATGAACCTTGAAAACATTATGCTGAGTGAAAGAAGCTACTCATGTATTATGCTTATTGTATTTTGTACGTAATGTATTTATATGAAATGCCCAGAATAAGCAACTTTGTAGAGACAGAAAGTAGACTGGTGGTTCTGAGAGACTAGGGGGAGGAGGGAATGGAGAATGACTGCTTATGGGTATGGGATTTCTTTTTGGGATGATGAAAATTAATTGTAAAATTAAACAGTTGTGATGATTATACAACTCTGAATATACTAAAACCCACTAAATTGTATACTTTAAAATACTGAATTATGATATATATCTCAATAAAGTTGTCATTTAAAAAAATATCCAAACTACTGTGTTATTTCTCTTCCATTTTTTAGGGTCTTCTACAGGGATGGGCCTCAGCAGTATGCCTGAGGCATAGGTAGGGTTGAGGGATGGGGGAGAAAAGAAAAAAAAGAAAGGGGCTTAGAAGGATAATAAGAGACATTGGAAGATGGTCGATATGGAAGAAGAAACAGTAGAAGAGAGAGTTTCAATTAGGTTTGTTAAACTGCAAGGGACAGAGACTTACTCCAGTTAACTCAATGAAAGGGTTTATTGATAAAGAAATACATGGAGAGGCCTTGAAATGGCAAGACTTAGACACAAAGTCAGCTCTTCCTAGCAGCTCTGCCATCATCCTCATGGACTGTATCATCTCACAAGACATATCTACTTCTCTCTGTGTGTCTGATGCATTTTTTCTCTAATGTATGACTTTCTCTTTTCCCTCATAATTCAGCTTGCATGTAACTTTGGCTTACAGTGTCCTTTCCAAACCTGACAATCTCATAGCATTCTTAGTACCGTCTTTGCCCACTACTTCGGTGGCTCCGTGATTCATTAACAGTTTCCTGATTCTCATGTCCTGAGATAGGAGTCCAATTAGTTCTGCTCATGTTTTTAATCCAAAATCTGGATCATAGGCCACTGGTCACCTAGCCAATCTGTAGGCTGATCCTCCTTGGATTATGTGCCCATCTGTTCTCATTAGCTGAGAGCAGAACAGTGGCATTATCTGGTTCACAAAAGGCACAGTGGGTTGTAGGGAGAAAAGAAGGATGGCTGGGCATGGTGACTCAGTGACTAGATGTAGTGGTTCATGCCTGTAACCTTAGCACTTTGGGAGGCCAAGGTGGGTGGATCACTTGAGCCCAGTCTGGACAACATAGGGAGACTTTATCTCTCCAAGAAACTTAAAAATGAGCTGATTGTGGTGGTGTGTGCTTGTGGTCTCAGCTACTCAGGAGGCTCAGGTGGAAGGATTGCTTGAGCCTGTAGGGTAGAGGTTGCAGTGAGCTAAGATCATCCCACTGTACTCCAGTTTGGGTGACAGAGAAAGACCTTGTCTCTAAAAAGAAAAAAATGTAAAAGGAAGAATGGGGGACAGTTTGCCAAATGACACTCTGCATGGGCTGTGGAAAATCTTCCCACTACAGGGAGAAAAGTGGCATACAGAAGCGTGGAGATGGAACCCTTGTCAACTGTCCCTGCCAAGTGATAATAACTCTTGATAAACATGAAGTTCTTCCTCCATCCACCACTCAGAGGAAAATACTTATTGCCCATGTTAGTGCTTTAGTTTGGACCTTACTATTGTTTGAATATGATTTGTCCCCACGAAAACTCATGTTGAGGCTTGGTCCCCAATGTGGCAGTGTTGGGAGGTGGTGCCTTTAAAAGGCAATTAGGTCGTTAAGAGGTCTCAATGCCTTTCTCTCAAGAGTGAGTTCTCACTCTCAAGGGACTGAGTTAGTTACCAAGAATGCAGGTAGTTACAAAGTGAGGACACCTCTAATGTTTGCCCTTTATGGCAAGTGCCTGTTTCCCTCCACATTTTTTTTTCTTTTGAAAAAAAACAGAGTTTTGCTCTTGTTGCCCAGGCTGGAATGCAATGGCAAAATCTGGGCTCACTGTAACCTCTGCCTCCAGGGTTCAAGTGATTTTCCTGCCTCAGACTCCCAAGAGTAGCTGAGATGGCAGGCATGCGCCGCCACGCCCAGCTAATTTTGTGTTTTTAGTAGAGGTGGGGTGTCTCCATGTTGGTCAGGCTGATCTCAAACTCCAGACCTCAGGTGATCTGCCTGCCTTGGCCTCCCAAAGTGCTGGGATTACAGGTGTGAGCCACCACGCCCGGCCCTGCTTCCCCTTTTGTTTCTCTGCCATGTTCTGATGCAGCATGAGGCATTCACCAGAAGCCACCAGATGTGGCTGCCCAATCTTGAACTTCCCAGCCTGCAGAACCATGAGCTAAATAAATCTTTAAAAACAAATTAGCCAGTTTTGGGCCGGGCGTGGTGGCTCATGCCTATAATCCCAGCACTTTGGGACTCTGAGGCAGGTGGATCACAAGGTCAGGAGTTTGAGACCAGCCTGGCCAACATGGTGAAACCCCGTCACTACTAAAAATACAAAAATTAGCTGGGTCTAGAGGCACGCGCCTGTAATCCCAGCTACTTGGTAGGCTGAGGCAGGAGAATCGCTTGAACCCGGGAGGAAGAGGTTGCAGTGAACCGAGATCGCGCCATAGCACTCCAGCCTGGGCAACAAAAGCAAAACTCCGTTCCAAAAAAAAAAAAAAATAGCCAGTTTTAAGTATTCTGTTATAGCAACACAAAACGGACTAAGACCTAAACTCTATATT